AGATATTTTATTTTTTTACAAAATAGTGCTCAATGAAAAAAAATTTATGTATTAATATAAATTAATTGATTTAAAATATTTCTTTTTTCGCTACACAGTTCTAACCATGTGTCAAAAATGGAAGCTAAAAAGCACCGAATTTAATTTTGTGATTAAATTAAAGACATTAGTTCCATTTCATCCTCAAGCGAATTATGATATATATATATATATATATATATATATATATCCTAAAATTGTAAAGCTTAGAGCGACATCATATTGAAACATCGGTTCCCGTACGATCAACAAAGTTAAGCAACAGAGTCTGGTCAGCATCAAAAGTGGTGACCGCTGGGTAATACCAGGTGCTGTAAGCTTGGATGTTCTAATGGATAATGGCTAGGAATTGTCAGTCGTTGAGCCAAATTCCAATGGGAATGTTATATTCACTTACTTGCAAATAATCTTGCAGAATGGTATGCAACCATCTCTTCTCCTCCGAGAATGGGTTAATTACTAAACCATTATCATCTAAAAAAAATCTTCCACTCTAAAAAAATATTCTGGCATTAAATAAATTGCAAATTTTTGATAACCGTAGCAAACGAATCAACCAACCAATGTAAAATACAGAAGATGGTTTCACTCATCTCGATTTGTAGAAATGGGCGTAAATAGGTAAAGACAATGTGTTAGGGACAAGCATTGAATGCGGACATGATTTAACATTTTGACCACGAAATAGTAGGACCAGAAAGATGGGGTAGTAATAGTTTTAGGTTAAAAAAAAGAAGGCATGTGAATTCTATCGAGACATTTGGTACGTGAAAACTGCAGGTGTTCCCACGTGATGCAAGAATGGAGCCGCCAGTAACAAGGAAAGGAACAATAGCTTTCCAATTCAACCCTAGTGCGTCTTAACTCAGCAACGCACTGTACACTTTTCACTAATCTTAAAAAAAGGACCAACTAGATATATTTAATTCGTAAATGTTGTACAAGTGACTAAATTGTATTCACTGATATGCATGAAAAAAAAAACAGTCTCTTTATTTTGATACTTTATCGTCTTTATCATACAAAAGTGTCTTCCTAATGGGCTTCTAGTCATATTTTTAGACATTAATTGGCTGTACGTCCCCAATTGGATCTTTAATGTCAATAGAGTTTTTATATGTTAATTTTATTTTTAAACAATTCGTTAGGCGCTTTCAATTAACAAGCAAAAAAATACCCAATAATTTTTATTTACTCTTGCCTCAATTCACTAAAATATATCTCAAAGTCTGTGCATACACTTTATATATAATTTTTACAGTGTATATAGGCAGCCAATGTTCTTGTCTTTATTTGCATTGATCGTCTTTTCCAAATTACGAATAATCCTTTTCAGATGGGGAGGAAATTCCGTCAGGAATTGTCTAAACTTCATTGCATAAGAAATGGGTTCCAATCCTTCGACTAAGTCATCAGTCATAAGTAAAGACAAATGGTGAGTTTCATAGAACCAGCGAGTGTAGTGACGCGGGGCAGACATGGCAAGGTAAGGCATGACGTGTGTGTGTGTGTGTGTGTGTGTGTGTGTGTGTGTGTGTGTGTGTGTATCGCGGGCTCTTAAATCATAATTGTCTTTTTTTTATTTATGGATGGTTGTTTTAATCGTATGAATATTACTTCGAGGATCATAAGTCTGATTTTGCTATTGTCTTCGAGTGGTTGTCTAATGCTATTGTCTTCGAGTGGTTGTGCTTATGCTATTGTCTTCGAGTGGTTGTCTATAACGTTGCTATGATCATTATGCTGCTTATTAATGTGTTGCCTGGTAGCACTCTGGTCCAGGAGAGTCTCCAAGTGGCAAGTATTTTCATGCACAACATTGGTCTTATATAGAGGATTGGAAGTTTTGAATATATTGTTTTTAATAACTAAGTTGCTAGCTTTTAATTTTTTGTAGTAAATAATGAATTGTATTTGTTGTATTGACTGGTTTTATATATCTATGTATCATCCTTTTTATTGCTGTTTCTTTTTTGTAATTGTGGTGCATTTGATTTTGGTGATGATCCTCGAGGCAATGCTCCTACAACAAAAACAACCATGTAAAAATAAAAAAAACAATTATAATTTAAGAAAACCGCGTCGTCGGATGTATATAAGACATACACACTTCATGCTTTGATGAAACTCACTGTTTCTCTACCTACTCTGATGACGGTTTAAGTTGAAAGCTTCGGCCATATTTCTTCTAAAATGAACTTTGGACAATTTCTGACGGAACTTCCTCTTTATACGAGAAGGATTTTCTGTCATTTGGAAAAGTAAAGTAATAAAATTAACCAATATAAAATATTTGTCTTCTTTTATATATATATATATATATATATATATATATATATAGTGGGGAGAAATAAATATTCGTACACATGAAAAATTGTATTTTTATAAATGTAAATACCTTAAGTAAAAACAAATTTTCATACATTTTATGTGTAAAGATACATTTTATTAAAAAATAGTAATAAACCTATTTAATTCTTATTCTAACAGAAATTAATGCACTTTTTCATTTTAACTGATGAAAAAAGTATTCGTACAAAACAAAAAAGCATATTAACTTAATTTAATACTTTGTGGAATATCCTTTATTGAGTTCAACAGCTACCAGTCTATTCCTGTAGGTCTCAACTTATGATTTGCACACATTGAGTGGTATTTTGTCCCATTCTTCTTGGCATATTGTTTTCAAATTCTTGATATTTGTTGATGCGATTTTCCCAATTTGAATTTTCAAATATCGCCATAAATTCTCGATTGGGTTCAAGTCTGAGGACTGACTTGGTCATTGCAAGACGTCAACGTTGCTTTCAGCTAACCATTTCCTTGTAGATCTAGCGGTATGCTTAGGATCATTATCCAGTTGGAAAACGCAATCAGGAGGTAGCCGAAGTCTCTCAACAGAACGCATTAAATTGTCTTGCAGGATTTTCTGGTATCTTTCGGCATTCATCTTGCCATCTATTATTGATATTCTGCCAACACCTTTTGCAGAAAAACAACCCCAGATCATGATACTGCCACCACCAAACTTTACAGTTGGCAACGTGTTCTTTGGTAAGTAGGCTTCAACGTCCTTCCTCTACACATGATTTCGATAATTATGACCAAACAACTCTATTTTAGTTTCATCTGTCCATAGTACTTTTTCCCAAAACGAATATTCTTTATCCTTATGCTCTCTAACGAATTTTAGCCTAGCATCTCTGTGTCGTTTCAGGAGGAGTGGAGTCTTCCTTGGGATGCGTGATTTCAGACTGTTTTTATGTAGTTCATTACTTTAATCCCTAACGCACACAGATGTTTCTGCAGCTCTTCTCGGGTAACCTGTGGATTTTGTTGGATCTGGCGTCCTAATATCCTTGCTTATCTTAGAGAAATCTTCATCGGAGCACCTCTTCGTCTTTGGTTTTCGACGCTGTTATGAGTTTTAAACCTTGCAATGAACGAAGCAATTGTAATAAAAGGAATATTCAGGTTGTTAGAAATCATTCTGTAACTGTTGCCATCTTTCCAAAGAGACAAAATTTGTTGTTTTTGTGAAATCGTCAATTCTTTACCTTTAGGCATTATTAGAACCTTCTCGTAAGACTAGAAATTGCAGAATGCTCTGATAATGACTAATAGCGTTAACTATAATTACTGCTAACATTACTGGAACATTCTAGAATATACTTTTTTCATAATTAATTGATTATTTTATTCTAATAATTGAATTGTACAAATACTTTTTTCACCAGTTAGAATTTAAAAGAATGCTTTAATTTCTGTTAGAATAAGAATTAATTAAGTTTATTATTATTTTTTAATAGTATATGTCTTTATACATAAATGTGCCGAGACTTGTTTTATTTAAGGCTTTTACATTTATAAAAAATTTCAAATTATTACGAATATTTATTTCCCTTACTGTATATATATATATATATATATATATATATATATATATATATATATATATATATATATGTATATATGCCAGATTCAAAATCCTAAAAAAATATATTTTAGAATTTGCATACATTTAACTCTTTCCAGATAGATACGACATTTGACAATGGATTTTATTTAGCGTTAATAGTTCTTTGGTCGAATGATTTCTTTTTGAATCTCTCGGAAAAAAATGATGAACAACGAAGCCCACACGAAATACATACTTATGACCTACAAAGGATCGTAAGTTAGAAAGTTTCTTTTTACAGTTCTACTTATACTTTTATTTTGCTTAACTCATTCCAACACTGAACGGGGGGAACAAATAATGGAATATAAATTTTTCTACGTCACGTTGCTAAAATCTTTAGAGTATATGTGAATAAGATATCATGTTATCGTGCTTTCATTAAAGGCATCAGAGCCATCTTCAAATGAACTCATTATAAATCTATGATATCAGAGGCATATTAAAAAGTTTTGTTTTTATTTTATTTTATCATTTTTGTAAACGCGCTTATAGTGCGAATATAAGTATTAAGAAGTAAATCCATTTCAAATTATCTATTTGAGATTTCTTGTTCGACCGTTTCTTGATTGATGAAGAAAAATGGCAAAAACATAGAAACTTTCTAAGATTATGATTGAAAAGTTATCTTTTTTTTTTTTTGCAGATTTTGAATACTGACTGCAGTTATGGTCAGAAAAATGATTGTAATATAATTATATTTTTGCTACTATTTTATCATTGTTCTTCTAGAACATGTCCTTTGTACTTGTAGTCATTATTTACTCAGTGGTTGTTCGGTAGACAAACGGTTAAAATAAAAAAAAGAACCAACAAAATTCTGGTTGTTCATTATATCTTTATATTTGCTTTTAATGATTTTAATTGTTATCTATGGCATTAATTTTTGTCACTTTTTATTTTCACGGAAAGCTAATTGGTTTTTTGCATTCACTCGATAGTTCAACTATTTTGTGGAGAAATTTGTAAGCCGTGTACTAACTTTTTTAAAATTTATTTTCAGTGATTTAAAGGGGAACAATATTACCCACATTCGACGGACTGATTTTACCGGTCTGCGGAGCATAAGAGTTCTGTAAGTAAAAAAAAAAAAAAAAAAAATTATTTTACATTTTTATTATCGTAGAAGACAGTTAATAACACATTTATTTTTTTTACACCTTCAAGCATTCAGAAAAATACTTTTTTTTTTCCTGTAGCAATACTTTATTCAGATTCTTTTACTATAATGCATAATTCCCAGTGTTTTTCATTTGTGTTTACAATCAGCAAGTGGAACATACTTGCTTACTCTAAATATTACAAAGGAAGGTATATTCATTCATCACATTCAAGCTTAGAATGATTAAAATCGGACATTTTCAGAGGATATATTGTTGCAGAGATCTCTCTGAAAACAATTTTGTTTTTAAATTTAACTTTTCTTTACAATAACAAGTTAATCTACAAAAATTAAAGTAGATTCCAGTTAAAAAGCAAATACATTTTTATTATCATTTGCTTTCAGACGTTGCATAAAATGTTTAAATTCTTTAATCTTATCTTTAATTGTGATTTGTTTTCATGTGATTACGATTTTAAAGTCAAAAATATGAGTATCGTGCTTTTTGAGGGAAACCTGCATTAGCAAATAACTTGGTGGATGCAAGTAACTTTGTTTGAAATGAGAATGTCATGCAAAAATCAAGTGTCGTACAAACAGGAAATCTTAATACATGTCACGCTTTTTGGTATTTTGATAGATATTCTCTATGTACTGTTAATAATTTATGCACGTCTCCTAAAATTAAATAAACAAACATTATTTAATTTATTTTCATTTAATTTAAAAAGATGACTCGAATTAACGATTGTTTTAAAGAAGAAATGGGCTGAAAGCAAAAGAATCTTGAAGAAACTAAGCAGATTATGAAGTAAAAGTTAATCTTTGGCTGAGTATCACAAGAAAAACTGAGGAATGAATAACATAACGGTTATAAGAAAGACAAGCTTTTGTAAAGCAAAACTGGTTATCATCAATGGTTATTTTGGAATAAAGTTATGTCGAATGACATAAGCAAAAAGTAGCCTACCTAGGTTAATGGCGCCTTAGTCATTTTCAAAGTACTCCCCTTAGGATCTCATACAGGTTTCCCATTCATTATTCTACTTTTAAAAGATTCTTCGTAATCTAATCCATGATATGTACTCTCCTCCTTCTCAATGGCGACTTTACCTTTGGGAAAAACTAAAGGTTGAAAGAAACTAGACTGGCGTAGTGAGGAGGAGGCCGTTGCTGATGCGATACTTTGCTTAAAAAAAACACGCATGTCTTAAACGTAAAACATAGGCAGTCGAGATATTCACAATAACTGCATTCTTTGCAAATATTCTAATTCTTAACCGCCAATATATTTGGATATTTGGATTTGAAGCTGCACACCTCCAATATTTTAAGTGCTCTCTTTGTTATCGGGCTTTCAAAACTTTGGCTAATTTCACCAGATTTCTAGCTGTCTGAAGTGTCAGTAACAAAATTTTGCTCATGGAATAATCCTCGAAAACGTTTTTAAACATTCGAATATTTTCCCTGGCGAATGTCTAATTTTCAAGCAAAACATAATGCATATGTGATAGTTAAATAAAACATAAGCTCACTCAGTGACTGGAGAGATACTGTTCACGCATGCACAATAAGGTATAAATGAACATGCTTCGTATTGTAAACAGAATTAGTAAGGAATATAGTGCTGCTAATACACTGATTTTTTTATTTCTTTTCTTTCGTGTTCGCTTTATTTGGGTATTTCTATTCATCTAAAAAACTGAAATCTTTCTTACGTGACAATGGAGTTCATTGTAATAAAATCATAGAAAATAAGCAGAAATTTTGACGAATGCAATTTAAAAAATATTTGACGGTACTTGTAAACTAATTCCGATGATACATTATCATCAGAATTAGTTTACAAGTACCGTCAAATATTGGTAATTATGGAAAATAGTTCTATTGCGAAGACAAAGGCTGGTCAGATATTATTGCTGTCAAGGTCAAACAATATGTAACAGCTTTTTTTTTATTGCGAATGTGCAATCGATAGTTGAGAAAATGATTTGAATAACAATATTATTGATAATGATGCTGATGATAAATACTAATATAAGTGAATAATTAAATACAAAGAAAAATATCGATGAAAATTTCACTTGTTAAATAATTTAAAAAAAATGATAATTGTGGTCAATGAATAATAAAAAAGTTCCCCACAGTAAACGCTAAATATAGTAATTCTACATGATTGTCTAACTGATCCAACCAAATGTTTTTATACTTAAGCTTAGCACATTGTTAAAAGAGTGGAACACTCAGGGAGTAATAACGTTATTCGACTATACTTTTCTAAACAAGTCTCCAAAGAATAGCCTTTAATGCGAGATCTTGATTTTTTTTCATATAATGTTCTAAGAATAATGAATTGCTAAAGCATTCTGTATTATGCAGTGTAGTGGGTTAGCAAGCTTATCTCGCAAGCTATTGTTGAATTCTTATTGAGTTTGGGAGAGATCTACTAAAGAGGAATGGACTCCATCAAGCTATCTTACCTTAGACACAGCACTGTTGTTATGGCTGCAGTATACTTGATGCACCTAGACCCTAATAGGTTAAGGGACTCGTGATGTTTGGTGAGGTGATTTAAGAACAGATTAATCATCTACCAAATGATGTTTGCAATATTGCTTGTATAAACGATAAAAAAAAAAACTGTGGTGAATATCAATGTCTGCTATATTGAATTCAATCTCCTATTTCAGTAATGTTTTTGAAGTCCCCCATAGGCAGAAACATATCCAGAGTAAATACTCAGTTGAGTGGCATGTGTGTTATTCCAAAAGTATATTAGAGACATTCGCGGATTTCCAGTCTTTTATGATCTTAGAACTTGAGTCGAATGACATACATTGCGAGATTAAGGGCTCTTCATCAATTTACTGACACAGTTATTTACAGATTAAGCGACAGGAATTTTTTCTGGTTTCTTACTTTTTAAGCTTGGCTTAACTTTATTTTGAACAATGTATTTATTTAGGACGACCATAAGACTGTGCAAATGAGCATTTTATGCCCGTGTGTTTTGTTATATGATTCAATATAATATAAAGGTTGAATAACAGAACTATTAAAAAAAGCCAGAATTAAAGTTTTAGATAAAGTTTTGTCAATACAATGTTAAAAATATTGCAAAAAAAAAGTTAAAAACCTGCGGGTGTATGATGAGAAAATTTAAAGAATAAATTAAAACTAAAAGAAAAACGGCTTAATAAAGAGGAAAAAAAGATTTAATACTAATTAATAACAATATTCTTTCTCGTAGGAAGAAAAAGAATCACTCGAGTGAAAAGTATATTTTACCGCAGTTTTATTGCTGAGCGGGAATTTTTTTTATATTAACGTAGAGGAAAAAGATAGTATTATTGTTTCGCAACAACTAAAAGCTGTATAATTATATACAAAATACTATTCTTTTATGACAGAGTTTATTTATCAGTCGAGGGGTTCTTGCCATTTTATTCAGAGAAAATCAGATACAGACTTTTTAAGATGCGGGTGTTTGTATCACGTGTCATCGATTCAAGTGTCGATTGTAAATCTTCTCACAGGTTTCCTAAATTTCAAAGCCAAACGGCCAATTTTCTCTGTTTATTGGATTATCTTCTTTACCCTAAATATATCCCATTTCTTTTTAATTTTATTATTGCTACAACGTCAATTACAGTGACATTTAATTCTTCATTTTCTTATCCTTTCTACTACCTCAAAATCCTCAATTTGTTTTGTTCTTTTTCTTCTTTATCTTTTATCTACAATCCGTGCATTCCCGCTTTTCACGGTATATGATACTTGTTTTTATATTTCCATACGTACAATGCAGTAACTATCCCTTTTTTGCAAGCAGAAAATACTGTGGAAGAATTAAAGACATTAATAAATTACGGGGTTTTATTAGTAAAAGTTAAAATAATATAAATTCTATTTCTATTACATATTATACATATTAGATATGCGTCATATAGAGAGGAGTGAAATATAAAATTTATAAAAAGATATTAACACGCAGGCTGTTGTATTTCTTCAATTAAAAATATTTCCCCAAACGTTGACAAATAACAGAGTTCATTATCTAATAATTACAAAGTTTTATCTAATTTTTATTTTGTTTAAGCCAACATTAAATTCTATTTTTAGAATGTCATCAGAAGCGTCAATTACATAGAAATAATTAATACTGTCGAATAAATTATTTTTCTTCCATATGCCTTTTACAATTTAATATGAAAATAGGTCCAAACATTAAGCAGTTATTTTGATTGAATGACTCTAGATGGAAACTTACACTCCTGCAGCTTAATTCGTGACGACACGTAAGAAAAAAAATGGTTGACGACAGCAATAACAATTATTCAGGTGACGACACAAAACTTTCCATAAAAAGAGAATAGTTTATCTTTTTTTTTACTCTCTCTCTCCTCTCTCTCTCTCTCTCCCTCTCTTGTGTATATATATATATATATATATATATATATAATGGGACAAATTAGTAAAACTTTTAAAATGACAACGCGTTAGATATTACGTCTTCAGATACGAATGAAAGACAAAAACTGTGGGTTTTAGTATTTCTTTTTAGAATAAGACGAGCAATAAATTAAATTACCTTATCAGATCCGACGAATAGAGACTAGAACTTTTTTTTTTTGTTATATATAAGGAGAAAGCTGTTGTTGTCGGTTGGATTTTAAATCGGCCAACTCAGAATACATCCGTTTTCTTTTTTTCTCCGCATGTGGCTTTTGTGATGATCGGAGATATTATGTATGATACTGATCTTGGGTTTATTATTGACAATTGGGAAATTAGCGAAACCTTCTCTCTCCTGATCAGACTGGCATTTGTTAAGTCGAAAATGTGGTCAGACGTATTACAGTGAACTATCAATTTGTTTAAAGTGTTGTTATGCAGCATATTTCTGTGATGCGCATGTAGTCTTTTTTTTTTTAGGTTTCTAGACGTTTCGCCGATGTAAGCCTTTGGGCATT